GGCAACACTGAGGGTTGCGATCCGTTGCTGGACACGGAAAAAGACAAAAAGACAAAAAAAATAAAAATAAAAAAAAATAATAAGCCATTGTGGTGGGGTATCCTTAGGATACTGGAATAGACAGAAGAGAGAAAAATATGAGGGTGAGGATGGGATGCCAAGAGCAGGAAATCCACAACAAAACAAACAAACAAAAAAGAAGATATATTCATGTGTGTGCACACACACACATATGTGTGTAACTGTGGTATAATATACAGGTCATTAGTGAGCCATAATCATCATTTCAATGGATCAAACTCGGTTGGGAATTGTTAAATCTTTGCTTCACTCTATACTTAAAAATAGACGAAAGAATTTTGTGACTGTGGTTGTCATGAAAGGTTTTAGCTAAATTCCAAGCCACAGTTAGAAAAAAAAAAGTTAAAAAAATAAAGTTTCAACAAGCAAAGAACATGGGCAGCATCCTCATTCCCGCACACTTAAACCACCCCTCTCACTTTATACCATGATGCAGCGTGTACATTACTAACTACAACTCCAATTGGGCTTTCTCACATTCTCCTTCTAACCATGCCAGAGCATGATCACCATGTTTCTCAACACACACAAACTGTTCTGTCAGGTCAAAACACTTCTCAATTGCAAAGCAGAATGAAATCAACCCAGAACACCATTTACTACCTCAAATATTTGATTGAATCCTGAGAGAAGTATCATTTACACCAATATTGTTGGCCTGGTGCTCTACAGATGAGGATTACATAGAGAGGATATAACCCTTGTCCCAAATGCTTTTAAGAGTTCTGCTCCCTGGATGCCACACTTCATCCTGCTAACTCTCAAACACACCATGTCACATTCTGAAAGGATGTCTTATGTGAGCAAAACAACACCAACAGATAAGTTAAAAGAAAACAAAAGGCCTCGCTTCAGTAAAGTGAAGATTGGGTTTACCAGGGCTGCTGAACAGAATTGTGCATTGCAATACAGTTGTCCCCATTTCAAAGCAATGTAGACGCACGCAGCTTGTTAGATTTATAGAATGCCTGGTCTCCCAAGACTTTACAAAGCAAATGGCATCCATCAAGTTAATTTCCTCGGGATCATCTCAAACATGGCGAATGAAAAGGCCCAGACCATTAAACATCAAAAGAATGTTCTAAATGGTAATTAAAATTCTATTATATTTTCTTTTTCTGGGAGCAGATTAGACTAATTCAATTGAGAATATTATAAGTAACAAAGCTGACAGTGCGAATGTGTGGAGTTGGCTGGAAGAGCACTTAATATTGCAGACATCTGTTCATTCAAGTTACACAAAACAGGAAAGAGGGAGTTCGACTCAGACTGAGGTGCACTTACCAAGCCGGCACATGTAGACACAGCCACAGAGGAGGAATTGTCATTTCTGATAAATCCCTGATAGAAACATTGCTGCACCTCGGGTTCCCGAGTCTCTGAAGCACCATCTTTTCCAAGTACCTGGACAATAAAGTGACTGCTCAAGATCGCTGAGGGCTGAAGTTCTAAGTGCAGCTCCTGTCCAAATGCTGAAAATTGGTAGTGTAGGGAGCTCCTGGCACTCTGCGCTGATCGCTTTTTCCTGCCATTGTGCAAAATGTCGTGCGAAATATATGACCCACCAGAGTCCACTTCTACTGGCGTGACAAAGACGTAATCTGCAATAGGAAAAGTTGAGCTGTCAGCACCCAGAGCCCACAATGCCAAATGGTCACTTTCCAACAGGCTGGCAAAGAGCAGAGTAGAGCTCAAAGATACCTTTTTCCCTATTGCCATACGCCTAGATCAAATATAATTCAGAGTAGCTCATAAAGAGGAGGACCCTGTGATCTCTGCAATTAGTGCTGCCACAGTAATTGCATCAAAAACTGAAAGCCAAGCACAACCTTAATGAATTTCAAGAATGTGGAAAACATCACATCCTTTGTGGTCTGGAGAGATATGGACAAACTTTGTATTTATTAGCCATGAACCATCCATATGTAAAATATAACTTTTTTGGAGACAAAAATTAATAAATATAAAACCACAAAAGCAAATAAGTGGGAACTGTTCTTCGAGGAGATTAATATCTCTGTGATTATACTGAATTGGGAACATGTCTTTGGCAGAGTTTAAATTTCAAATGATAACTCGCAGTGTTGGGTAACTTCAGATAATATATCTCAGGTCATTAACAAGCAACGGCAGTTTCATATTTCCAATACCACTTATGCATGATAATAAAACTCCAGCACTTCTATCACCATTAGCGTTTTACTGTAAACTTTCACAAGGATGATCCCATTTAATTGAAAGCATAAAATACAGTATATGCATAAAAATGCCTCAAAATCGTCAGAGCCTTCCCATACAGTCTGATGTGTAAAATTGCTCAGACATGTTGGTGGGGGAGTGTCAGATCAGGGGACACCTGGAAAGGCACGTTTAAAAATACCTTCACCATTGCTCCCTAGAGCAGCACTAATTGCTGCATGTTCTAGAGAATAGGAGGAGCTAAAAAAAACAATTTGCTGTTTGAAAAGCAAAGCCAACACACTGTTTTCTTTCACACAACATTGAAACTGAAAAGCACCATCCTACAAAATGATTTGGAATATGCCATCTGTGTATTAAAAGAACACTCTGCATTTCCAGTTTTGAGGTACAGAATGGGAAATAATCTGGAAAGTGTTTATTAAGATTTTCAATAAGAGGCATCTTTGAGTCACTTGGCTTCTTGGTTACTGGGGGAGAAAAAGGAAGAGGAATTTCCCTTTTCCCCAAACAGTCAACAATAACGACAGAAAAAAAGAATGAATGAATAGAAGCCCTGTAGCTAGCATGGATCAATGAGTGATATTCTAATTAGGCTCTCGTTTGCAAAGGAAAAAAAAAAACCACCAATATGACAATAACTTTTAACTGGTTTCTGGATATGAACCTTCTGTGACTCTTGTATTGCCTGGGCAGCTCAGTCTTGCATTCTTTTAATGTCCTCTCCCATTTTCTCCTTGATTCTCTCCTTTGTCTAGAACTACTATATAATTGACATCCATATTTAAAAAATAATTGAGAAATAACGTGTTTCCCTTCTCTTCACCTTAAAAACCTGAGCAGGACATATAATATTTCCTTTCTCTTAAAAAATCTCTCATATGTTGCTTTACAAGTATGTGGTTCTTGATTAAGTGCAAGCTTTTCTTAGAGAAAACCCACCTCTTCCCTCTACTAAACTAAAACTCAACTATGAAAACCACCCCTGACATATGCTCCAGACAGTTTCTACAGTAAGCTGCTTCTTACCTCCTTTCCAAAATCATCTGAAACTCTGCCTGCTCTTAGTTGGGAGGCCATTCGGGAGCCTCATGCAGACAGACTTCTATGGAATCAGCCGACAACCCCCACACACCTGCCACTAGTCTGTTTCCAAGGGGAGAATAAGCAGGCTGTTGGTTACAGTCAGTCCTTGATGGGAGGAGGGAACAGTCAGAGCCCCCTGTAAAGAGTGATCTGATTGATAAATTCAGGAGCTGAATACAGATGAGGTCCTAACAGGGGGTGGCTGGGACAGAAGGGACCTCTAGCCATTTAATCCTGAAGGAACAACGCGAGGAGGTGGGGGGGGGGTAGAAACTGCAGCCTCTCTGGTTAGATAAAAGGTGAATTTCTCAAGAGCTAATATCTGGGTGTCTCTTGTCCCCTTACTCACCCACTCCCTGGCAGGCAGCCCTTCTCTGTGACTGCATATCCCCCAGTCTCCCATATGAAAAGTCAGTCTTGTCCCCTGACAAGAGGAGATAACCCTGCAAAGCTAAAAATTCTAGAATCCCAAGGAATCCAGGTTGGACAGCAAGGTTTTGCTAGACACCTGGGTCAGGAATCAGCTGTTCTGTAGCTGGTGGGAACCAGTGAAAAGAAGAATTCTGGGTGCCACTGGAGTGAATAACTGTCAGAAGTGAAGGGCGTTCTGAAAGTCTGTGGCTGGGGAGCCTCAGAAGAGATAGGTAAGGGACTCAAACCACCTACTTTCCTCTCTCTAAAAGCAGTCGTCATGACCAAGGGACGCAAAATGGAGAGAAGAAAGGAAGAGAAGTGGAGAAGGAAATGAGAAGGAAAGACGGTGGGAGGAAAGGGCTCCTGTTCTTCCATCCTGCACCAAGAACTAGCTCCTGGGGGCTTTCCCACGGAGGAAGGAGCCTTTTGACTATTAATCCCCTAGTCACTGTTCACTTCCATTCTAATTCCTCACCGCAGTTAGGATTATTCTCTCTTAACACGCCATCTGTGAAGGAGGGAAAGTATTTTCTCATTTCTGTGATTTGCAGCTCGAGGCATTGACTCCTCCTGTGAGTTCGGAGTCCTTGCCACACTCCCCCTCTCCAAACAGGAACCATTTCCAGGACAGCAGCACACACCTGCTGGGTCAGGGGGTGCGCTTCTCTGACTTTGCTCTCTTTGGGGGAAGTTAGGCACGAAATGCCTGGAAAGGCTCTTCTTGAGGGCAGGGGTGGGGGCACATACGAACCATCATTTAATCCGCTGCCGCCGCTGCTGTCACTGGCTAAGGCCGCGGCGACGGATGCGCAGCAGAGGCAGCACAGCTGGAGCGCCTGCAAGAGAAAAGGTGACATCGCGTGAGGGGCGCGGCGGGGCTGGCGCCGGGCGCCCCCG